TGTGAATTACAAGTTTATGCACAGAAATTGCGCGTGCAGGTTTAGTTCTCACACAAAAGCAGAGTCCAGAATGTTTTAACTCATTGTGTTAATTCAGATGTTTGCTTTAAGATCGAATAATTTAATAAAAAGTAGTCCTAGCATACCTAGAATGTTTGTGAATGTAAATGATCGAGATAATTTGCGAAATATATTGAAATAAGGCTAAATTATAAACACAAGAATTAGTGAAACATTGAGTCAATTACATTTCGTTCAATGATTGAGTAGCTAGTGAAATACTCAGATTGTTGTTAGTTATCGCGTATATTCAGTTACTCAATCGATTAACCGTGAAACTGTAGAACTAAGTATATTTATACTTAAGTCGTAGTACTGTTGGCGAGTAATTTAGTCGTAGTACTGTTAGCGAGTAAATTTTGTCATAGTACTGTTAGCGAGTAAATTTAGTCGTAGTACTGTTAGCGAGTAAATTTAGTCGTAGTACTGTTAGCGAGTAAATTTAGTCGTAGTACTATTAGCGAGTAAATTTAGTCGTAGTACTGTTAGCGAGTAAATTTAGTCGTAGTACTGTTAGCAAGTAAATTTAGTCGTAGTACTGTTAGCGAGTAATTTAGTCGCAGTACTGTTTTCGAGTAAATTTAGTCGTTGTACTGTCAGCGAGTAATTTAGTCGTACTACTGTTAGCGAGTAAATTTCTGTTGAAAGTGAAAACACTTTATGTGAACTTAGACCTACAAGTACAACTATGTACAGGGGATAATCTGTAGTAAAAAAAAAAACGAATTTATTATCGTTACGTGGACTGGACTTTGTATTTTGTTTAACAAATAATTCAAAATAACCCGTCTGATAATGCCAAAATGATCCTCTCCATCTTAGATACTAGAACGAAAGGATATGCATGCAACATTTGCTGCTCATCAGCTTTTTGTACATTGGATTCAAAAGAAAGGACGTTTCCCTAACTATCAGTTACTAGCCTAATGTACTTTGATGGTTCACACAATGTCTACCACTAAGATACCCAGGCATGGGAAACGGAACAGAAGCATTCTTCAGCCATTTAATAAGAAGTTATGGAAGGTAACTAGAGGCCCAAAAAATACCCATGCTGATAGGAAGTATAATAGTAGTTCCTCTGGTATTTAATGAATTTTTGGAAGGTCCCTTTATTGGAAGAAGAGGCTCACAGATTATCCGTGCTGATAAAAAATATAGTACCAGTTCCCCTAATATGTAATGAAGAAGTTTTGTATAAGGTCACTTTTTTGGCACTAGTGGCCCATAAAGTATCCTTGCTGAAAGGAAGCATAGTACCAGTGTGATATGCAGGCTTCTCATATGTTTTCTACCTGCTTTATTGACATAACAACTTTATATTTTGTTTAGTTGGCCTATTTGCAGTTTTGGAATATACACGTAATCCAGAAGGTCGCTGAGATTGCCTTGTTCTGGTTGCTTTTTTTTTCTATTATAATACAATGTCCAGTTCACTAACGATAACAAATTAGTTTATTTATTTCTACAGGCTACTCTCATATGTACATAGTTGTACTTATAGGCCTAAGTTCGAAAATAACGTTTTCGCTTTCAACAAAAATGTTCTCGCTAATGGTACTACGACAAACGTACAAATATACTTACTTCTGTCAATGTCTATTTTGCCTGAAAGGATATTGCACTAACGTATATCATCTGGGTTGAAAGGATTAGCACTGTTATACCCATTGTTGGCCGAGTTGATGTTGTCTAAATGTAATAGCCGATCAATCCTCTGCGAAAACAAAGGTCACGAGGTGATGCCATTGACTGGACAAAGAAATAGAGTTTACCTGTTGAATTTAGATGTACTTTCTTGGATCATTTATACTGGGAGATCGTCGAGAAAAGACTTACTTCAAGATCACCCATAATATTTAGTCCAAAAGAAGTCATTCTCAAGAGAAAGAAAGTTATGGAGCTAAACACACTTTAGTACGAACACTGCGTTTTCTTCTTGTTTGTTTAATAACAAAGATTATATTCATTTCTATCGAATTTGTCCAGTGTCGTTATTTCATCCCACTAGGAAAGATGAATTAAGATATCAGATTCAAAATTACTTTTTTTAACGAATCTGCTGTTATTTGCAAGTTTAACTATCTGATACTTGTCGGAAGTCAGTTTTCACCTAAAAATATCACACCAGTTTCCCGAATATTTGTTGGCCTTGCACAAGGCGCAGAAAGTACCCATGGTGACAGAAAGTGTAGTACCAGTTCTTGTAATACTTATTGAAGAAGTTTTGGAAGATCACTGCGTTGGCAGTAAGTAGAGCTCCAAAAGTACCCATGGTGACAGAAAGTGTAGTACCAGTTCTTGTAATATTAATGAAGAAGTTTTGGAAGATCACTGCGTTGGCAGTGAGTAGAGCTCCAGAAGTACCCATGGTGACAGAAAGTGTAGTACCAGTTCTTGTAATATTTATTGAAGAAGTTTTGGAAGATCACTGCGTTGGCAGTAAGTAGAGCTCCAAACGTTACCCATGGTGACAGAAAGTGTAGTACCAGTTCTTGTAATACTTATTGAAG